CAAATAAAATCAATGCGCGCAATAATGGTATATGGTTCCGTGATATTTAAGTGATTCATTACAAAATGTATACAAATTAGTCATAACATGCTTAAACATGAACATGATTTCTGTAAAGAAATGATACCAAGAAAAAGAGCAAAATAACTTTTAATTTGTGTTTTAGTAGAATTATTACATGTAATCTTGCAAATCGCTTTCCATCAGAACTTCAGTAAGCACTTTGAATATTAATTACTTTTTAACAAGATAAACCTTTAAAAACAACAACAACAACAACAAACAAGCACGCTGCTCTGTTCGCTGTTATTTATAGTCCACATTATCACTTTTTTTCCTAAATAGTTCTTTTTTTAATAAAACGCTTATATATCATATTAACGGAAATTTTAAACATGACGGCACTTTTCAAATATGTTATCTTATGGATTCATTAAACAAGAGGGCCATGATGGCCCTGAAGCCGCTCACCTGTATATAGCCATAGCCCCCCCCCCCCCCGGAGCGGGGCAAGTTTAAACCCCAGGACTTTTATTTGAACAAACTTGGTAGACACCCATTAGAATATGTTTCATGCTAAACATCTAAGCTCTAGCTTGTTGGGTTTTTTAAAAGAAGATTTTTTAAGTTTTTTCTTTACACTTATATTTAAAAACAATGACACTCCTGGGGCAGGGCCAGTTTTGACCCCAGGGCTTTTATTTAAACAATCTTTGTACACACTTACTAGAAGATGTTTCATGCTTAATAGCTAAACTCTAGCTATTCGGGTTTCTTCCAAGAAGATTTTTAAGTTTTTGCTATACACATATAAGGAAAATCAATGTCCCCCGGGGCGGGGCAAATTTTGACCCCAGGGCTCTTAGTTGAACAAACTTGGTAGACATCCATTAGAACATGTTTCATGCTAAATATCTTAGCTCTAGCTCTTTGGGTTCTTTAAAAGAAGATTTTTAAGTTTTTAATATATTCATATAGGGAAAATCAATGACCCCCTGGGGCGGGGCCAATTTTGACCCCAGGGCTCTTAGTTGAACAAACTTGGTAGACATCCATTAGAACATGTTTCATGCTAAATATCTTAGCTCTAGCTCTTTGGGTTCTTTAAAAGAAGATTTTTTCAGTTTTTTACTATATCCATATAGGAAAAATCAATGACCCCCTTGGGCGGGGCCAATTTTGACCCCAGGGCTTTAATTTGAACAAACTTGGTAGACACTCACTAGAAGATGTTTCATGCCAAATATCTAAGCTCTAGCTCTTTGGGTTCTTTAGAAGAAGATATTTAAAGTTTTTTTCTTTTGGTTGCCATGGCAACCAGAGTTCTGCATGGAATTAAATTCTTTGAACAATTTTCAAAGGTGACAACCAAGGGAACATTCCTGTGAAGTTTGGATGAAATTGGCTCAGTGGTTTTTGAGGAGATGTCATTTAAAGTAAAAGTTTACGGACGACGGACGGACGACGGACGGACGGACGGACGCCGGACGAAAAGCGATCACAAAAGCTCACCCTGTCACAAAGTGACAGGTGAGCTAAAAAAACATTGATTCCGTATTTCACAGATAAAATACGTTTAAAGGTCAACGTAAAGATAATTTTTAGAATAAAACAATTAAAACATATTTAAAGGAGCAAAAAGTAAAAAAGAAAGAAAAGAAAGAAACCAAAAACACCTATGTATCAAATAATTGTATTGGCTTTGGCGTATTTTTTATCATAGGTCTTGCGTTATATACATGCAAATCATATAAACGATGTCAACGTAAAACTTACTTTGCTGCGGGTTTCGCTTGAGCTTTACACAGAAATGTAGTCTGATCAGGAACTTTGACATATCTAGTGTTAGGTGACCAGTTATTACTCTGTGGCTCAGTAATAAACGGCAGTTCTACTTCTTCTGTAAACAAAACAACAAAATATATAAACAATATCATAATAAAATAAAAGGGCTACCGAAATAATTGAGATTACAGAGTTTGTTGTTATTTTTCTTAGTTTCTTTTCTTTTCATTTAAACATTACATAAGGAACATTTATTTCGTTTAACCCATTACCCGATATACACGCCTTTTAACGCCTTTTTCAAGCCCCCCCCCCTTTTTGTTGTCTCAAATGGTAGAAATATGCCTTATTTAGGCTCCCAATACTTGTTTTTGTTTGAGAATGTTGTTTAAAAAAGTGACTACTTTTTTGTCGCGGCCCGCCAACCAAAAGATACATCAGGGGGTTGCCAGAAGTGGGATGTGCCCCCTTCTATTTGGGGGTTGCCAGAAGGGGGGAGGCGGCAGTCCCCCTCAGCGCCAAGAAAATTTTGGACTTGTGAGAGGCTAAAAATGACCCCAGATCTATCATAAGGTAACGTGTAACCAACGCTGAAAAGCATTTGACTCTATCTCAATCCATTGAGAAGTTGCAGCACTTTGGAAAAAATCAACGCATAATAGTGATTTTTGGCAATTTTGAGATGTCCCCTCGTTGCCATGGTCACAGAAAACTTAAGCCTGGGCATGTTGTTACAAATACAATGGTCCAGTAAACATTTGTGCCAAGTTTGATTAGTATTGAAGCAGTTTTTATAGTTTTATAGCAATTTGAACTTGTAACGGGAGACTTTTCAATGAAAACAGCTATTTTCACCAAATGCTCTTGAATAAAATAATGTATAATCAATAAACGCCAGTTCTTCACCATATTTTTTAACAGAGTGTCATTGCTACATTTACAATACATTCAGGGAAAAACTTCTTCTGTGAATACGTGAAATAAACACCCAAAATACTATGTTTATATTTATTCATACAATCAGGTGTAAATCTATTATCTTTTAACGCAGAAGACCGCAAAATATACTCAATCAACCACCGTTTTTACTTTTCCTGCAAACAAACTTGCATAATAATAAGAATTGATTTAAGTTTCACTGGACAATGAACAGTGCATCATATGAGTCATATTTGTATGCACATTTTGAACAGTAAATTCATGTAAATCTTTACACCGATGCAGAGATCATTTATCCGTACCTGATTACCAATATTGGTGCAATCATTTTGTATATATTATATAATATAGCATACATGTACGTACAGACATTTTAACCATGCCACGGTGACATGTGTTGTATAATGTTGTAATATTGAATTTGTAACATGGTTACGTATCACCTGAAACAAAATAGCGGTGAATTTGTAACATGGTTACGTATCACCTGAAACAAAATAGCGGTGAATTTGTAACATGGTTACGTATCACCTGTAAATAGCGATGAATTTGTAACATGGTTACGTATCACCTGTAAATAGCGGTGAATTTGTAACATGGTTACGTATCACCTGAAACAAAATAGCGGTGAATTTGTAACATGGTTACGTATCACCTGAAACAATAGCGATGAATTTGTAACATGGTTACGTATCACCTGAAACAAAATAGCGGCGAATTTGGAATGATTGTGATAAAGAAAGCAAAATGTAAACAAAGTCATATTTTGATTTACATGCAATTTTGTTTTATTGTAAGTCTCCTTATTCTCAAAACGCAAAAGAACCCACACGATGACCAATTTCTTATTGAAAAATGATGCAAAATATTTGCAACCCACCAAATATTAAAAGCTTTAGCAAAAGGATTTCAGCATTTTTTAGGCTTAATGGGCCTTTAATAAATATATTAATATCAGCCATCCGTAAGCAGCACAAGTTATTTGGCACATAATTATGTCATTTCGTATGCCATATTATTTTTTTTCATTTTCTATGACCACTGTTCGGTTAATAAACTAGACAAGGGTTCCAATTTGTTGATTGACTCAAACAATTTAGATGCTAATTCCGGCGATAAATGTTGATCATTCCTATGAAGTAGATACTGATCGGCGTTGAAGCTATCTGTTATCGATTAATATGGCACTTCAAATAGATAACAAAATATCATCAACCTAAATGTATCACATGACGTCACATGATTGGATTCATATGTGTAAATATTACACATGAGTTTTATTGGGTTTGTTTTCTGGCTGAATAATGCTATGTGACAAAAAAGAATTTAAAGTCCATTAAGCCTAAAAATTGTCATTTTATTTCGTTTCTTTAAATGTTTCTACACGTCAGTGCACGTGTTCTGTTTTACAATTTCAACATTGCAACTCTTTGCCCATATAGCTTGGCCATCTGTGTTTGTCCTTTTGTATTTTGGCAATAATTTAGTACAATTATAATAAATTTAGTTTTCTTGCATGGTCGTCACAATACCACTTTATTTACATCTTGCTTCCTTTATCACTAATTATTTCACACCCACCGCTATATTTTTCAGGTGTTGTCTGGATGTTTGATGCGATATAAACGTTTACGACACGTATAGGGACATACAAGCTTGCACATCTGTGCATTCCGACCAGTCTCGATACAGAGGGCATCTGAATTCTATCATTTTGATCATGCAATCCCATAGAACCTCGTAAAGGACAGTTCCAAATTCAAAGCAGAAAGTTTGTACATTTAACAGTTTTAATAACGTATCAGAGTTCTTAAATGGCATGTTTATATGTGAAAGTAATTTAAATGCATCATTTTATGTTATGTTAACAACCGGGTATGATATTTTGCTAAATTATGTCAAAGTCAAATCATGTCTACAGATGTTATCAAGCATTTCGCTTCACTTGAGTCCTAAAATCATAATAAAATTGCTGATGTGTTGAAAATACCTGTCGTTTTTTGCAATGAAACGCAACGATGTTGTCAATTTTCACACATAAAATGGTGTATCATGACGCTAAAACATATCGACCATTTCGCTCGATGCGAGATACAAGATATAATAAAAATATTAAATGCATGAGCTTCACATGCAGTTATTACATATTACGGCATTTAATTTGTATCCTGATAATAAACTGAGTTTTATGAAAATTTTGAACATGATATTGATGATAAACTTGTCATGTACGTCCATATGTCGCATAGGTTTTTATCATTGGTTGATTTAAATATGTGACACATACATTGTGCAATTCAACCAATGGGGTTTGATGGTTCCTCACCGGTGTAATGTTAAAATGGCCACGGTACATTGACCAATGATCTTTGATCATTATCTTCAATCTCTGTTTTGACAATGACATTCGCTCAAAGTTTCTGAGTGTGTTTTTTTCTTCTCTAGATTTTAAAAAATGTCAGAAAAGGACATTGGAGCAGCCAACTTGATGGTGTCTGGCCAGCTTGCACTTGCTGGCAGACTAGTGTTACTTTAGGGGAAGAAGGGTCAAAGATCATGTTGTTAGACATTTTGGTTTTGTCACATTTTTATGATTGAATGTCATGTCTTATATGATTATGTATAAGTAAATTGTATATTGCGTGTATATTTATGCGATACAATGTTATAATACTAAGTCCTGAGTGTACTTATAGCTTTTGGCATTTTTTAAAAAATTGTCTTATGTTGAAAGAATCTAACTTTATACAGAAAAGACCAGATTCACGTTTTCAAAAAGCAAAGAGTTTTTTTAGCGTACTTTGATCTTTTTTACTTTTGTAGAGTACAGAATATATATACATCTCATACACGAAAATGTTGTGTTTCTTTGTTTAAAAAAAAACACATTTTGACTGAGTTCATAAGTAAATTACTAACCTGCGTAAATGTGTGTTGTACATGCCAAACAAACATACAGTAACAAAAACTTCATAATTGATGTCTTCATGCTAAAACTCTGAAAAGAAAAAGAAAACATATGTCTTATGAAACAAGCGAGTAAATGGTTACTCTTTGATTGTCAATGCTGAACATACCATACTGCCGCCTGTTATATTTAATAGCATGTTGCTCTGATTTAAAGAAACACGTGTGTCCATTTTGTATGCATAGAAGATTCTATGAACTTCTGAAAGAAACCTTCTTAGAATTTTGTCTTATTTGTCTCCCTTGTTTAATAAACATGCACATCTATTTATAGTTTTTCTTAATTTAGCTATATATGACATCATACACCCATACACAAGAATTCAGTCAATTACGCATCTCTTTTTCATTAATCACTAGATGTAAAAAGTTGTATATTTGGAACATCCATTTGTCAATTTCATGTTGATCCCAAAAGTCGCAAAATACTTAATCGAATGGAAAAGTGCAGATTTCATTTTACAACTTAACTTCAAATATTGTTTTGTTTGATGGAAATAAATAATTCTATGCCAAGGAATCTTTTCAAAAATGATTCACATCAAAAACGGGTGACTAAAAACTAGTAACTACTAAATAATTAAACAAAAACACAAGTGTCCTGTTTCTCACAAAGTCAATATGAGGTCATTTTTCACCAGTCATGGCCATTCTAACATGTTCATATTGCCTTAATTCACTAGGGACCGCCACATGTTTTTTTTTAAACAACAGCAGATGCCTTTGATTAGCAAAAATAATAATTAAAGTCCTTGTTATTCTTATGTTTTCAAGTATTAAAACCGTTCAATAAAAACGCCGTTGAAAGTCCAATATATTAACTTAGCAAACCAATACTTATCATTTGAGCCGTGTCATGACAAAACCAACATAATGGCTTTGCGACCAGCATGGATCCAGACCAGCCTGCGCATCCGCGCAGTCTGATCAGGATCCATGCTGTTCGCTTTCAGTTTCTCTACTTGTAATAGAGTTGCTAAGCGAACAGCATGGATCCTGATCAGACTGCGCGGATGCGCAGGCTGGTCTGGATCCATGCTGGTCGCAAAGCCATTATGTTGGTTTTGTCATGACACGGCTCAATTTTAAGGTCAATACAATATCATGATTTAAATATCAATATGAAAACTACGAAGACTAGTATCGTATCATCACAATTTGCTAAGAAATCGTTGTTGACAGACCAATATAAATAATAATTTGGAAGACCATTACATAAACATATATTGTTCACACAGTAACTTGAAAGACCAATTTATTAATTAGAATGACCAAAACAAAGTACTATATTACATTTAATTAAGAAAAAGACACGTATAATGTCCTAAGGTAATCAAACTCACCCAGTTTAATTTTCAAGTACTGAGAAATGTTATTTGAAAATAATGCTTAGACAGTTTACACAATATACATTTTAAAGCAGCATGCCTCCAGGTTCCTGTTGTTTGGTTTTTGTTTTGATTTTTTTTCATTGTACTCAAATGTAAAATATTGTCGTCAAGTAACAGAGAACATTATTTACCATGTTAATATTTGATATATAAGTTCAAACAAATATAATGTACCAAGTGAAAGTTCTTTCGCACTTTTCATTGCTTACACAATAAATGACACTTATTTTAACTACTACTTTGGTGGACTTTTGACAAATGCTCATTTTGATGTCAATTCATAATGTATCCTCTCCACCCGCACTAAAATCTCGTCCATACAACTTCAAAGACCATATATTTGATGGCATGTCACACCAAATACTACATAGCAATAAATCATTAAATGTTAATTATGAAATTGCAATGGAAAAACGACACGCTACGCACAGAACCGCGTGCAATCTTGGGATCTTTTTTATGGAATATATTCATGATATCTGCCGATGAATAATTAATTGAAGATGATGAGCTTTGTATGTGAATGAGAATACAGCTAAGCACATGTATAGTTGTGTATATTTTGCAGAAATCATGTTTGTATATATGAGATATGTAGATAACTCTTCTCAAAATATAAAAATGTAATGTGGTATTTGCAAAATTGTCTGAATAATTAGGTCAACAGGCTAAATACACCCTTTTTGTCAGAACTGAATATTTATATTTACGTGGCGGTTGCCTGGGAGAACAAGGGCTTGATTAATAATTTTTCATTATTATTTACCTTAATGCTTATATTTTAATAATTTACCAATGGCAATAAATGAATAAACATATATCATATTAAAATAACGGGTATATATACCCGCTTCGTAGGCAAATACATAGTACTGCTAATGAGCCCGGTGTATATGACTGTCCTGTTTAGGCGGCAACTATGGTTAATAAGAGAACAGTCGGTGCTTGGTTAGCAACACACCGTAAATATGGCTAAAATGCTGGCTAGATTTGCTGACCCTCAAAAACTGCTTCATCGTCTATTTTTAAGCAGCTCGTTCGTTTAGTCTCTCAAACTATCACCATATACTTCAATATGACTACCAGCAGTCAAATTTATCAACGGTTTTACAGAATCGTTTTTTTTTTCATATTTCTCCCAAATGCCAAAGCGGATTTCAACCTTTTATTATATGCATGTGCCCGTAGTACTATTTTATCCACAACTTTAAATCAGATAATTTAATTCTTTGATAGAGAATATGAGTCACAAGTGCACAATTTTTTAAATATATTTGTATTCTTAAATAGCTTTTTAACCTTCCAATTCAATCCGTATTTATTTAATCGTCGTTTGTAATGAATAATTATGAAATAATCATGAATACAATATTGCTTTACACAAGGTTACAAGATTAGACCGATAAAGTTATATACTATGTAAGAATAAAAAGACTATTCATACTTAATTTGCAATACATTCAAATAATATAGATCTATGTTTTTTTCTATTATAAACACTAACACGTTTATTCGGGTAGACCAAACAAGGTTTAAATGTATATATTATTGGATATATAGATATATAACATGTTGTATTGGCCATATAAACAGTTGTAAATATATATAACTCGTGCAGCTAGTAGGGTTAACGGACCGTTTATAAACGACCACATAACCAATCAAAATGTTGTCTCTAGCAAAAATTCAAGATGCAGCAGAACTCTTCTATTTCACAAAAATGATAAATTGACGTCACGACTGTCTTATGAAAGATGACATAACAAACATTTTGCGACTAACAAATGTAACAGCCTCGTTGCCTTTCGGGGGCCACTTCCGGAAGTGGAACAGCTGGATCTTAACGTTTACAAAATAAAGGAAAGCAAATAAAAAAAAAAAATATTTTAATAAATAAATAAATAAAAAAAATTAAATAAATAAATAAATAAATAAATAAAAACAAAAAAATAAATAAATAAATAAATAAAAAACAATTAAATAAAAACAATTAAAAAAAAAAAAAAATAAATAAATAAATAAATAAATAAATAAAGAAAGAAAAAACAACAACTGCAGTTGAGTTGCATATTTATAATATTTGAAATATGTATATATTAAGAAAGCACAAGAAAGAAATACATAAAATGAAATGCACAATAAATATGTATATATTAAAAAACGCACATGAAGGAAATACATAACATGAAATGCACAATTATAGATTTTTAATAGAATACATGTGTATTACATTGAGGGGCATTATTATATTAAGCAGGCTTCTGCTATATAAAGTTGTCGCTGTTGTAAAGTACATGTATCTTGAATTAAAACACTACTTTTATCGAAAACTGAATAAGTTTATATCACAGAGTCATGAATATCCATGATAGAATTACTCTATTATCAAAATATGCTACTCAACTTCATACGTTTTTATTACATAACGTTTGAATTAGTTCAAGAAGAAACTATTATATATTATGTTATTTCTTTCTTTTTTATTGCCAATGTCATGTATATTCTTGCAGGTAAATGATAATAAAAACTTCCGGAATTCCATCAACATTATAATGCTCTGAAAGCATTATTCCAACGTGAGATTCGGCTGTAAATGACGTAAAGATTACCGTCTGCATTTATCGTCTGCTACTGAAGTCTGTCAGATAATGTATTCTAAATACATAATAATGTTAAAGACTGACCTGATATCAACCCGTCTTATCCTCTACTTATGTATATTTAAAATCCAAATTTATTTTGATATAACAAATATCCGGATTCCAAATTTGTATTATTCAGAAAACTAGATAAAATTGTCACATTCAAGGTTATCTTCAAACACAAGGCGAAACCGAAACAGCAATGAACATGTACGCGTAATTTTCAGTATCTATAAATAAACATACCATAAGACAAGTCATTTCCTTCGTAATTTTATTTAGAGATAGGTCGGGTATTCAAAATATAGGATTTATAATTGTCTACAAAAAAATAGGAACGAATATAAAAGCAAATCCAACCAATATCCACATATAAACCGCGTATTAACTTCACAGAGGTGTTTAACGGACAAAGAAATAATAATAAGTTCATTCATACATACTTTACTAATGACTCGTAAATACCCCATTATCGCTAGACTGTCAATAGAGGATATGACTTTTAATTCAACAGCCGAATGGTTATATCTTATAACAATATTTTCTACAGTAATAGGACAGCCATACACCGGCAATACGCTGACGTTATGTTCACTGTCAATAATAAATAGGAAAGTAAAGACAGTTTATATACCCGTTTGTTGAAATGTATGGAAAGTTGAAACAATATTTTCACGACAATTTAACAAAGCGGAAACCGAAATTATTCTTCTATGACACTTAAGACGGTTTTGAAAGATTAAAGTGGAATGGACTAAGTTCTAGCGTTATGAAAATATGACCGGATATTCAACCCAAAATGAAAGAAACAACCCTCATCCCCCATCTTGAAAAAATATCTTAGTAAGGCCAATGACATAATTTCATATAATATTTTGATAAAGACAATATTATTGCATTAAAGGGACTCATACACTCACAATATAATAACATTGTTATTTCTTTAAAGGGACTCATACATTAAGTTTTTTTACATGACGGATCTTGAAATACATTTTCTTTTCGAGATAAATATGTACGAAAGGTAAATATTATAGCTCAAAGACCCTGAACTGATGTCAATGTTTTCACTTTAAATATTCAGTGTCAATTAGGCAATTTAAATGACATAGACGCTTCACTCTAATGTCAAAGAACAACAATCTTTTCATCAAAAAGCCTTTATAAGCGCGTCTGTGTTTATCAAAACTATTAATCTCTAACGTGCTAATGTATTAAGCGATGCATTCAACTGAACAAAACATATACACATCCCATATAATATCTGACCTCCAGTCGAGCGTTGCACAAAATATATTATATAGATACAAATATACCCTTAAGATCTGAAATAAAACTAATGTGAAATAGAAGTAACTGCACTTAGCATCTCATTTTAGATTTTTTGCGATTTATTTTATCACATATGTATAAAACTATTTCTCACTTTATGAAATCACTTGTTTTTATTAAAGTTTGCATAAAAGGTTTTCCCTTTCTTTCATCTTTTTCTATATAAAATCAAAGGTAAAACGACACGGCCCCAGAGGGATATATGGGCCAGGAAACGAAGTCTTAAAAATTACGTCCACGGACTATATAGAATTAACCCAAAATAGTACATCTAACAATTGTAAAACTAGTTATTACTCAAAACATGAAACCTGAATAATAGATCTTACAAAATTGTTGAAAGAATAGAGAGAATTTGACTATGCATCTTTCTGTGACACAGTACATTACAAACAATGGCACATGTGTTAATTAAGGATTATAGTGAAATTTCCTTTGGGGGGATAGTTCCAGAAACCCTTCTAGCCCGGACGGGCGTATGGATTGAACAACGGATAGATGGATATCTTAAATTCACAATTCAAAGTTTATTCTATGACACTTTTTAAAACATATTAACATCACTTTCAGTTAATGTATCTAGAGATATGTCCTTGACATGTAACTAGTTTATGTTAAAATTCTTCCCTGTGAAGTGATGATATAGGTTCCTTAATAAATATTGGTGAATATCATGAATCCAAGATTCAAAGTGCATAGTTTTAGTACAGGTATAAGGTTAAAGTACTAAAATGTTCATATAAGAAAGTAGTTTTCCTATTTGTTATCATTTTTTTTTTCAACCAAAGTTGACATTACGGTGTCACTGAACTGTAGCTTATAACTTTCAACAATAAACCACACACTTTTATTATATACAATAAACATGAATTTGCAATTAATCATAATCATTAAAACATCTACTGTATATATTGTTTGTTTTTAAACCATGTATATTTCGTACATCATACCTATGATCAAAGATATTCAATTTTAATATGATAAAACTAAAATAGCCAATAGGCCCTGATGTATTCATATTTTAAGAGTATATAGGTATTTTATTCATTAACAATGTGGGACATGATATGTATACAGAAATAATATAAATGTATGATACCAAAAGTGACAGAATTTTTTTCCAGAAATTGAAAATAAATCATCCAAGAAACAAATTTAAGTCTATTGCTCAAAATATGTTCAGTATTCTCTCAGACGTTTCGAATGGGTTGAACCACTGTTATTCAAGGAGCTAGTTGTTGTATTTATAGTCTTTTTTTAATATTATTTACATTATACCAACAATTTATGCTATAAAATCGAGAAAAACAGTGGTTGTAAAAGATAAATAGCTAGCTATCTATTAAACAACAAAAACAATGGTTTAATAGATGTTAAAATTACTCTTCTTTCCGTAGGTAATAAAATATTTCATGAAATGTACACCAATCAACTCATCAGATAAGTTTACAAGTACAAGATGCATTGATTTCATAACAGAAATACGAGTCGATAAATCTATTAACTGATGGACAAACCCATACACTATTGAATTATGAGTAGGATATAAATATGTGATTATCCCACAAGAAAATGAGTGGCGGCATGGCCGAGTGGTTAACGCGTCGGACTAGTAATCTCATGATCGCTAGCCGCATGGGTTCAAACCCCATCAGGGACAAGTCGTTGTTTCCTTGAGCAAGAAATTGCTCAGTACTGGTTGGTTCCAGGAACGGATTCGAAAGTGTGTAGCTTGTAGCTTCCTACACAATCGAACTAAAATAAATTCTGTATAAACCAAGAGAAAATGTGCAATTTGTCTATTAAGTTAAGTGTCAAAATGTACTCATTTTTTTTGTTACGAGACAACATACATACATTCAAGTATCACATGTATTTTTTTTATTATGCATAACATATGTTATATACAGTAAATGTGTTTTATATATAAATATAATAATTTTGGCTATTTTGTGTCGACAGAATCTGAAGCTGAACTAATAAATGCATAGGTAAAGCTTCATTAAACACGCCATGGAATCGCCTTAATGAAAATTGTAATCATATCTTAATTACCTGGACAAAAATAATGAGATGTATAAACAATTTTCACCATGAAGCTTTAAATTATTTAAGAAAATCAACAATTATTATCATAATGTTCATTTATCTATATACTGCGTATAAACATGCTGGTAAATTCAACGATAGCTTATTCAGCATTTTTCATTGTAAACGTTAAAGGTCCATTATTCCCTACAATTGCTTTTATTTTTATTTCTCAAAAGCTTTATCGTGTCCTGTTTCAGTTACCAGAAAATACTCATTGACAAATTACCTGAACCATATTTTGTTTCTGTTACTTTTTTGGCAATTAGTACAGTTATAGTGCTTTATTATTTTGTATGGAAATCAAAATACTAATTCATTTATACTTTTATGACTAACAATGTCACATTAAGTGTTACTTTCTTCAACAAATAAGCATCAGACATACTATAAAACCATTATTGGGGATGTTAAAAAACACACATTTGCCCCTATTTCCAGAAGGAAAACAATATTCGTTTCTGGGGTATGATAAGTGCCTTTAATGTTATCAATTAGCGGGGTTTTGCCAGCTGAGTCACACATTTTCTGTATCTTCAAATGATGGGTTTTAGTTTAATTAAATTGAGAACGATTTCTCGGTGTATAATTTGTAGATTCGAACGACACCGACTATTAAGTTGATAAAATGCGGCTGTTAAGTTAATAAAATGTGGCGACATGTTTTGAAATGGTGTTTTTATTGCATTTTTACTTACGTTGAGACGAATTATGAAATATGCATGTCGAACTGTTGACACAATCTTTTAAAATGAAGATATCAGGTTTAAAGATGTATTTACAAATGTATGTTTGATTATCTTGAAGATCACTCTAATGTTTAATGGTGAATCCGGTAGATTTTATAAAGATGAGTTAATAAATAATTGCAATGTGAATCGTAAAAGGCACCGCTTTATTCGCCCTTCCCCCGTTTCATTTTCGCTATTTGCAACCAAAGGGTTGAATATATATAAAAGAGGGATGCGCAAAACAGAACAGAACACATATTTTAGATTTTTAAGCATTATAGATAAACTCCGTTTATACACGTTATCAATAATAAGGGTTTTACGTCACATCGGCACAGTATAGGTCATATCGCGACGTTCTAGCTTTACTGGTGGAGGAAGACCTCAGGTGCCCTTCCGAGGCTTCCGTGCATTATATCAGGCACGAACGGGTACCTGAGTAGAACCACCGACGTTCCGTAAGCCAGCTGGATAGCTTCCTCACATGAAAGAATCCAAAGTCCCTGTCGGGATTCGAACCCACAGAGGTGAGGGGCAAGTGGTTTTAGGTCAACGACCTTAACCACTCGGCCACGGACGCCCCTCAATAATAAGTCTATACTCTCTTATAAAGTAATATCAATCAATTAGTGTCATGTAATGAAATTGACATAATCGATTTTCATACATGGAAGGTTTGATAATGTATTTAAATTACTACATTTGTGAAGAAAACTGCATTATACTAATTTATGGTATATTAATATTTGATGTAGGGAAAGTTTAAATAGTGTAAAACAAAGTTTGTCTGTTATTATGCATTTTATGTAATCTAAGGACACTAGTCTTGTACAACATTAACCAATAGATTCAATAGAGAGTTTGTTTAAACACGTGCATTTCAAATTCATAAAATTCATTCAATTTATAATGTAAGTTTTTTATTTATTTAAATTAGATATGCATTTTCAATGAAAAGTTATGCATATAAAATGCATTGACGTGAGCAAACTATGTACAGGTTTTATTCAAACTACAGGTACATACATCGAAATATGAGTAGGCGGATTCGACACAGCATTTTAAAGTTATATAGATTTGTTTGCTAATTATACCAAAATCACATTCAAATTTCACACCGAACAT